CGCTTTCCATAGCGCTGATGTCGGTGTTTGCAGGGTGATCCGGACCGGAGCCTTGCCGCTCCTGTAAGCTTTTGTTCTTCAGACTCTGTGACTGTACTGATCTCACATAAACAATTACATCTGTTCTGAGACACCTACCTATCCAGGGTCCCCAACGTCTTCCTGAGCCGAAATGAGGGGCGCACACACACACACACAAAAGGATGCAGACAGGCCTTTCCAAAATACGACCTGTTGAGGTGGCCGTGTCTAATGCAAATAATTTAACCTCTGATCACACATCATCTGAGCTCAACGGGAGGATTCGGTCCTAACAAAGTTCATTTCATTGTTTACACCGCAGTAAACAGGTATGACATCATCGACCCAAATTAATGCTCTGGGATGGGGGAGGGGATACAGCTGTCACCATTCCAGTGGGGGTTCCCCGGCCTATCTGAAAAATAACCCGGAAAATACCCGTTTTCAAGTCTAAGCATCAGATGTTTGAACCACCTACATGCTATGCTGTCTTTCTCCTCCCTTGCTACCACCACCCAGTCTAGCGCTTGTCTTCGGCTGGGGTCTGTTGCTCTGTGTTTCCCACATTAAAGACAAGCTTTCCACTGCTTTCTTACTGTACTTAAGGGACTTCTTAGCTCCTGCAGTTCTGCAGGGCTCGTCCAATCGCTTTCATGTTTCTAATTCAGTAATTTAATTTTAAGAGGGCAGGGGGTGGAGAGAGAGGGGATGCTGGCCCAATGTGTGGGGAGAATGAAGCCCACTTTGGGGTGAATCTCCCATCAGGAAAGGATTTAAAGTTTCCCAATGTTGCGTTAATTTAATTTTAGGAAATCAGCTCTTTATGAAAATTTAGAGATTTGTTTGTTGCAGTTTAAGGCAAATCCCAGACAGTACTCATCATTTATGGGGGAACCACTTCACAAGTGGTGGAAGTCACTTATGATGAAATAGAGACTTTCTTTCCTTTTAATGTTTTGATTATACCCTCCCAGAGTAGAGGTCAGGAAAGGGCTGAAGAAGAGAGAAAATACAGGCCCATTAAATCTTCTTCAAGCCTGCTGCCTGGGTCTGATCCAAGCTCACTGCTAATTCTATTGGCTGGGAAGGATGCCAAAGAGAAGTTCAAATCCCACCCATGCCTGGGTTTAGTAACTTGTTTTTGAACTACAGTTCCTGCTATCTGAAGTGGCTTTGCTCAATAAGGAATGACTCCAGAATTCACTTCATAAGACAAATGAGCACACAAAACACTGCCTCACCCTCACACCAGGTATAGTGGAAATACGTGGCTGTCACACATCATTGAAGAGCCTCTACTAAGCCCCTGAACTTGTAGGGTTCCTCTGGCTGTTACAGGTTAGCTGTCTTTGAACTGCAGAGATGACTCCATGGTTAAGAGCCTGCGATGCTCTTCCAGAGGTCCAGAGATTGGCTCCCAACATGCACATTGACCAGCTCACAACCACCTGTAACTCCAGCTGCAGGGGATCCTGTGCCTTCTTCTAGCCTGCAGGGGCACCTGGCCTCAGTGCACATGCTCCCCCACACACATATATACATACACACATTCATACAATCATACATACATACATGCATGCATGCATAATTTAAAGTATTTTTTTTAAAAAAAAAAACCAGTTGTCTGTCTTCATTCAGCTTAGCTTTCCTAACTTCCCACTTTCATTTATTCCTTGCTTACTTCCAAACTGCGGCTTCTGACCCACTTTCACCCATCAGAGGTGTTCTCTTAGCAGAAGCCCTTCCCAGCCAATGAAGAGCTGCTGTAAGGGGCTGGCCCTTCTGCTCCTCCCACTGGGTACCATTCAGCTTCACATCCATCTTCTAGAAGTCTTCCATATTGCTTATTGGATGTCCTTCTTTTTTTAGAGCCAGTGGACAGGGGCTGTGTCTGCTGGGTTTGTATTTTGCCCTACAGTGCCCTGCACTGTGTCCGAGCTACAGACTTGTCTAAAGAGTTTTTGTTCAGTTACTGGATATCCAGGGACATTTTCTTGCTTTGGACGTTACAAATGACTTTCTAAAGTTATTAATTGTTACATCGTTGCCAATAGTTTCCCATTCTCAGGCTGGAGGAGCTAACCCTTTCAAAAGCACCATCGTTCGCAAGCGGTTTGGGGGTGGGGGGATGGCAGCCTGGAAAGGCTGTTTCGGCTGACTCCCGCCAGATGCTTGCTTCCTGCTCTTCCTCATCCCCTTCTCCTCCTTCCATATGGCCGAGAGACTGCTTGCATGCTCCCACAGCATGCCAGCTACAGGGCCCAGCTGCAAGCAGTCAAAGACAATTAGAAATAATCACCCTGGCACTGCCAGGAAATGAGAGCCGGCTAGGAAGGGTAAGGCTGGCAGGGGTGGCGTGGTAGCTGGAGAAGAAACAGCAGAGCGAAGGCAGGAGACGTGGAGAGAAGATGTTTGGAAGGCGTCCTGAAATATCAGTGTATCCATTATCTGTTCACTGCAACGCAGAGCAAGCGGTAAATAGCAGACTCTAGATCTGAACCGTGTCCCCTGAGTTCATGGCCATTGTGAGTCCTGTCACACAGCCGGCTGTTGACTGTGCTCAGTACAGTGGCTGAGGAGTAAAGGGGTTCCTAAGTCATAAGTTCCTAAGATTGGTGTGCCTGGGCAGCCTTGCATTGCTGGTCTCCCACAACAATGACTTCTCAATAGGGAATAGCGACAATTCACGGCTCTGACTCAGTTTCCTTAATATGTAGAGCAGGGTTTAGCTCAGTCACTGGCATATTATAAATGTGTCTATTTTCGCTCCCTCTTTCATGGGTCTTGACGACTTTTCTATTGCTGTGGAGAGACATCATGACCAAGGCAACTTATAAAAGAAAGCATTTAATTTGGGGCTTCTTGTTTTAGAGGGGAATAGGGTCTAAGATCATGATGGCGGTGAGCGTGGCAGCAGGCAGGCATCACTGGGGCAGTAGCTAAGCGCCCACACTTTGAGACAACAACCTCGGGGCAGAGAGAGGCTAACTAGGCATGGGTTGGGCTTTTAATATCTCAATCCCATACCCAGTGACACGCCTCCTCAACAAGGCCACACCTCCTAATCCTTCCCAAATAGTTCCACCCACTGCAGAACAAGCATTCAAATATGTGAGCCTATGGGAACCGTTCTCGTTCAGACCACCACACATACCAAGAAAATTCAGTCCAGAATGTCCCAAACCTACAAATCCCTCTCCTTGAAATAATGAAGGCATGCGTAAGGACATGGCCTCCAGGTTGGACCTCTTCCCTCTTTTCAAGTCCCATGGGCTGACTTCTTCCTCTCACCAGGCTGTCTGAGGGGACCTCAGG